GAGTGAGGTCTTAGCTCTCTCTCTGCTTCTGCCATCTGCCATGTCACACCCTGCTTTGCTGTGAAGAGTCACCACCCACCAACAGGAGTTACTAAGGACAGGAATGTCTTTGAATTACTGGTATTTATTCTGAAACTCAAAGCATAAGGGATTAATTATGCAATGAACAAGGGAAGGCCAACAAGGCCTTCACCAGATGTGTTCCTTGGACTTTGGACTTCCAGCCTCTGAAACTGTAAGCAATAAATATTGTTTCCTTATAAATTACCCAGTTTCAGGTATTTTCTTACAAGCAACAGAAACAGACTAATACAGCCACTAATGTATTCATGAGAGAGGATCCCCCTGACTTAATCACTAATCAAAAGGCCCATGACTTACTGCCGTCATCTGGGGTTGAAGTTCTAACATATGAATTTTGGAGGGACACATACACGCAAACCATTAGCAACTCTTAACAAGCAAGAAAGGAAACTTTTGATATTTTTATAGGAAATAAAAGGTGGATAAGTACTGCAAATGGGTCTTAGCCCATGCCCTTGTTTTAAGGCAAACAGAATGAGAAAATACTCTAAACAATGGCTACACATGACTTTTATATTTTAAAAACCTGAAAAATGTATGTCTTCCAGCTCACAGGATACATAAAAAATAAATGGAGTTTGTTGCTTTTTGTGTTTGTGTTTGTTTTGTTTTGTTTTAAGCCCCAGCTGAGGTAGTTTGCAATATGGCAGTAAGATTTTAGGATTTTTCTGCAGTGAATTCACTTCCTAACATCTCCTCAGCCTGTCTTCACTGTGAGCCACTGGAATGCATATCACTTGTTTTAATTTGATAAACGAAAAGGAAAAAGAGATGAGGTAAGAAAAAAAGGGGATAAAGAACATCTATAATAAAATCAAACAACCCATAGTTAATTGCAAAAGAGTCACTAATACAGTACATAATTGATGAAAATCCAGTTACCTGTAAGTATCTTAGGTTTAACCACTGTGATATGTATTCTGTCAATACATGAAAATAAACCCTGATCTGCAATATTCCTATTTTCTTCCCTAACATGGTGCTTGCTGCTCAAGTTGCAGGGAGTGGAACCGCTTTCTCTTCGTGCATAAGTGGGTGTGCTTGTTGGCATATGTGCTTCTGGAGAGTGCTATGCTCCACCAGCGATTATGAGGCAATATCTAGGAATCGACTTGTCTCTAGGTGGTTGACTTTCACAACATGTATGACAAGTTTAATAACTGCCATTTTACTGGTTTTACTCATCGTCTTTGTTCCGTGGAAAGTCAAGTTCTGAACTTCCCTTGGTTTGGACCCAGATACGCATTTTCATCATTTCTTCCTCTGCACACCAGACCCTATCAGAAAGGGGAGCTCCCCAGAAATTCTGCCGGGACCAGCTTCCAGCAAGAATAAGAGCATGCACGTCCACAGCCACGCCAGCTCACGCTAACCAGCTTCAGCCTGCTGCTCCGAGTGCCTCCGCCCCACACAACTGGTGCAAACCCTGCTGACAGAGGGAAAACCCATTAGGAAGTACAGCCAACTCTGTGTTCCCACATTTCTGGGAAAGAAACCACATTTGGTGCAGGAATAGTGCAAAATCACTAGGGTCAGCGCCTTGAAGTCAACTGAATGTCTAACCTCTTTCAAGATGTGACACAAGTAAAGCCCATCTAGGCGTTAGCCTTTGCCCTACAGAAGAGTATGCGACCGAAGACCCGAGCCCACCACCCACATCAGGTACTTTTCCATAGCTCTAGTTTTTCTTCTCTGGAAAATTGTCATACGAAAGACTTACTTCATGAGAATACAATTATTAGCTATTATAAAGCAAATTATAAACAAAGTAAATCATACTTCAATAAAGTATAGGAAAAGTACAATTCTACAGCTTAAAAGCCATCTTGTAAAGAATAATTGGTTAGCCATACTTTTTTCTAAGTTAACTCAACGCGTCTTATTTTTGTGTGACAAAAAAAAAAAAAAACGTACCTACCTTTTTCTTGACATTTTTCTTGGATCACTGGTGACAGGAACGAGACCCCCCTAGGAAGGGGCAAGGTGCTCTCCGCTCCACCTCCCACAGTCCTGGGTCCACGCAGGCCACTCGTCAGCCTGTGTGACGGGCCACTGTACACATACCGCAGGAGGAGGGAGAAGTAAAAAGCATCTGGGAAAGCAGAGCTGCCTCTCTTGCTGAGTTTTCTTTTGTGGTTTTCATCTGTTTTGTATCGTAGGATCACTCTGGCCCATTTTCCCACCAAAGTGTGGAACCTATTTGGTTCTCCACAAACTAAGGCCACTAAGTTCTTTTCGGATTTACTTTGAGGGTAATCGGTAGGTAATTTCTAACTGAAATGTTTAACATAAAATTTGTTTAATTGTCCATGTGGAGATGTGTGCAAGCTGTAAGCTCACCACATAGTGACACAGACTGAGACCCAGCTGTGGGGAGGACGCAGCTCTTCAAACAAAGCCTGCAGGGCTTCCCTCTAGAGAACCGAGAGGGGCTCGGACAGCGGGCTGACCACAATTTCATCAGCTCTGCCCTTTTTTCTCATTATTATTTTTGTGAGATTTTCAAACTCAAATGTGTCTGCCTGTGGGCAAATCGCTTAGGCTAATTATCTTAGGAGCACGAACAGCAGGAAAAACACATACGCATGTCTAGAAGTGCAAAGAAGTGACCCTGGTGAATGAAAACATGTCGGGAGAAAATGTGGCTGGCTGGAGACCATGTTTGCAGGAATATGAGGAGTGAATCCACAGACAGACGAAGGCATAGGCTGGAAATTTCCAGAGCCAGGCCACAACCCTTAGGAGTTACTTGAAGGATGTCAACAGTGGCCTACATTACAAAGGCCACGCACCGGGTGACGTCTTCTCCAGTGCTGGCGGGAGCGGGTCTGCCCCAGAGACAGGTCGTGGGGGTCTCCCTGTCATCTTCTCCCAGGGCCTGCAGCAGGAAGGCCACTCTGGCAGTTGGGGCTCAGACTTTTTAACCAATGATCAAGTGTTTTGATCCAGAAGTGACTCAAACTCCCAAACTCCTAGATAAAAATAGCCCCTGTAATCCCAAAAGGGGTTAAGGGCCCCTCTTCTCTCACACAACTAGTAAGGAATGGATCACTTTATAAAGTAGGTTTTGAGTTGTGTTTTTTACTCCCCCAGTTTCTTCATTCATAGTATATACCGTGGAATGCATGTCATCACTTGCACTTCTCCTCTCATATTCTAATCTCAATGTTTTAAAAAAAAAAGTTATTAAATACAATGCTTCTGTTTTTTGCCGTCCTCAAATTAGTGATAAACTACTCTACATACATACGGGGATACTGCAGTAGTTTCTGCACATATACTGATCCCTTTTACTGCTTAGCTTGCTCCTATTTCCTTAACCTGAAACTTTGCCAGCCCAGGGCAGGCTCACTCCTTGCTTCCTGGTCACTGCACCTACTCTGCCCTCTGTGCCCGTCCTCCCCTCTTCTAGCGTGCCCTCCCCTCTGCCCGCACATGGCTCTACTCTTTCTTCAAAGTCCCTCTTCCTCTGGGGCTTTCCTGATGGCCCCCCGGTTCCTTTGACCAAAGATCTACACTACACTTTTGACACCGACAGCACATTGTCTGGGATTACTCACTCTTCTATGTCAGGTTGAAACATATGAACTATTTTTGACCTACAAAGACAGCAATTACATGTGCTTCAATTTAATATATGCATCTTCTTACCCCCCCAATACAATTCTCTTTGAATTCCTAGTGTCTAAAATAGTCCCTTACCCTGTTTGGGTAGGTGTTTGCTATTAAAAAGAGGTAGACCTTGAATATTCTTAAATTGGCAAAATAGTAGATAAGCTTCCATTTTAATCTGAAAATGATTCTAATCCATTAATATACTCACTGTGGATGATTTGTTTGTGATTTCCTCTGCAAAAATATCCTACTACAGCCTAAAATATAAATATAAAACTTTAAGGAACTGGAAGTTATGGCTATAGTCACTGATTTATAAATATTACAAGGTTTTATTTAATAGATTCTACATTTCAAAAAGACCATTCACAGAATTTTCATCAGTAAATTCTATATTCAGTAGAACATATTACATATTTATTATATAATTAGTTACACAGCCCAGTTAGAAAAGAACATTAGAATATTGCACTTCTGATTACATTATATAGATTCCTCTGTCCCTGTTCCTTATTGTGGTCTTAATTCTATACTTAATTACATTAATTACCATGAGATAACTGCAATTAAATAAGGAAAAAAATCTAGTGAGAAAAGAGTTAAGAGTCTTGTAAGGTATCTGATATTAAGTGCAGGGACTTATTACTTTCCAAAATAAAAACATCTAAAACAGTATGATGATTACTGAACTTAATTCAATATTCTGAGGACAGAATACAGTGGAGAAACACTAGGCAGCCTATCACTTTAATTATGTCCATACTGGTAGGCTTAGAATTATGCAAGGAACAAATCAGTATTCCATCACCTCCTTGCTCTGGTTCTGTGCATAGATCAGTGAAGTCCAGATTTCTTTTTCAATGATTCCTTTTCCTAGACAGAGCCATGTTTTCCTTGCTAATGAGTCTCATCTTTAGAACTTGACCCCAAATGCATTTATATTTTATAATGAGTCTGTCATTCATGTAATATCAGAACATCTAAAAGACTTCATGAAGCCATATAAATATTTATTTTAGGGGAAAAAAATAGAATGAGCTTCATGTTAGTTGATTCAAATTTGCCACTTGTCATTTATGAGCCATTTAAAACAACATTTATAACTTTGGTTATTATTTCTTTCTAATCTTGAGATTTACAGAGTGCTGCAGTCATCTTGATGAAAACAGTCTATCTTAATGCCAAAAAAATGGGAAGAGATCAAATTTCTTCCATTGATGGCAGGAAGCCCACCTTCAAGCCTTAAGCTCTTTCTGTTTTGAGATAGCGTTATAGGACATTTGAAATAGTGAGACTTGTCTTCAAAGATCTTCTTCCTTTATGGTCTTAAAAACACAGTCACCTTCAGCTTTCTTAACCTTGCTTTTTCTTGGTAGAAAACTGAAATAGTCTTTCTGCTGCAAGGTAAACAGGTCAGAAATGTAAATGAGAGGAAATTATTTCCATAACAACCATAACAATAAAAAAGTCAAGGAGATTAAGACAATATTAAAAGGATAACCGAAAGGTTGCAATTGTTTAAGCAACGGTTATTTTAAATGGTTTTATCCTGTAGAAGCTTTATTCTGGGGTAGGTGTACCTCTTCTGAGGAGAGTGCACCCTGATGGTATGCTCAGGTAGACATGTCCTGAGCGTGTTTCTGGGTCCTGGGATGTCATTCAGGTAACACTTAACTCTGCCTGTCTCGTACCTTTCTCCTCCATTAAAGCCATGTGACTTTCAATTTATAACCTCATCCAAAATCTTTACTGCACACCCCACACAAATGCACACTTTAAAAAAGTATTATGCTTATTTTAAAACATTCTAAGGGCTGGCCTGTGGCTCACTTGGGAGAGCGTGGTGTGACAACACCAAGTCAAGGGTTAAGATCCCCTATTGGTCATCTTTTAAAAAAAACCCAAAAAACAAAAAAAAACCAAAAACATTTTAAAAGGTTACCACGAACCTTCAGTGAGTGAGAAGTTTACCTTTGGTATTTATGAAATCTCAAATAGGGCCAAGGGTAGTGGGCTTTGGCCCTTGTAGAAAAAAGTGTGGGGCACCTCAACGGGCAGACGGGCTGAAAATTTTTTTCTAGGAGGGGTTTGTCTTGAGAGAGAGGCCCCACAATAGAGCGGTTAAAGGAACAAACAAATTTTATTTGTTAAACAGCAAATAAAGACTGCTTGGGTTTGGATACTAGCTCTGCCACTTACTGGCTGTGTGACCTTGGGAAAGTTACTTAACCTCTCTGTTTCAGTTCCTTAGGCTGTAAACCAGAATAAAAATTGTACCAGGGCTGTTATAAGGATTAAATGAGTTTTATATGGAAAGTAATTATAACAGTGCCCAGCTCAGGTTAAGGTAAGCTCTATAAGAAGGTTTGCTAAATAAACTGGAATTCAATATAGTTGGACACCAGGCTCCTTTCTGACATGCTGGTCCTGTTCAGAGCTGAGGTAGGTTTGTCTGTTTTAGAATTACTGTTCATCTGAGAGAACTGAATTAGCATTAGTGTTGACCATTGCTGTGTGTTATGTTATCTGCTGACTAGGACAGTGGCCCTCAAACTTGAACACGCATTAGACTCATATGGAGGGCTTGTTAAACCGGTACTGCTGGGCCCCTCCCCCAGAGTTGCTGATGCTGTAAGTTTCGGGCCTGAGCATTTGAATTTCTAGCAAGTTCCCAAGTGATGACGATGCCGCTGGTCTAGGGACCACACTTTGAGAACCACTGTTCTAGGATAATGGTTCTGGTCCTGGTTGTATATTAGAGCCACTTGGGAAGCTTTTAAAAATTCCATTGCCCAGACTCCTCAGACCAATTAAATCAGAATCTCTGAGAGAGGGGCCCAGCCATCATTAGTTTTAGCACTCCCCAAGTGATTCCATGTGCAGCCAGGGTTGAGAGCCTCTTCTCTATCTGTATGCTGCTGAAATGAATGAATTTAAATGATGCAGTGGTTACCACCTACATTTTAAAAATAAAGACATTGAAACTTGATGCAGTATGTCTAACTAGGTCTCTTGTCTATAAATGCTGATTTCCAAGGTCCTCACCTCAGATTTACTGCCTCAGTCTTTGGGGGTGAGGCCCAGGAATCTGACTTTTAAGAAGCACTTCAGGAGTCCCTGATGCAGATCTAGGTTTTTTGATCTGCCTGAAGACTTATAGCCAGAAAGTGGTGGAGTTCCTATCTCCTGTCTCTGATCTAACCAGCCAGAAATGCTGTTATTATGAAAGAGAAAGCTTTGCATTTGTGCTTTTTTTTTTCTTTTCTGAGCTTATTGACTCAAGAAAGGACCTTATACGAGGGTACTTTCAAAAGTCCATGGAAAGATTTATATTATCTCTCAATTCTATTTTTCCATGAACTTTTGGAAGTACCCTCATTCTTACATACTTATAAATACTAATATACTAAAGACCTTTATACACACACCAGACCCTGTGACAGGGACTGGATAAATAATAAATTCCATTGTAATGCAACTTAGAGGTCACCTTTATTTCATTCACCTACACAAGGATTTGGACATAGAAAGAATGAGTTAGCAAGGTAGTTGAGGACATAGTTCCAGGATCAGACTGCCTGCTTCCTTCCAACATTGATTACTGTGCAACCTTGGGAAAGTGACTTAACCTCTCTGTGCCCTAGTTTCCTCAACTGATTTATATGGTCATGAAGAGAATGAATGCATTAATTCACATAAAAATGCTTGGAACAGTGCATGGTAATAATGAGTGCTTAATAATGTTGTCTATTACTTTTTTCTATTATTGTTATGTGCGCAGCAGACCTAAATGCTTGAAAAAGTATTATAAACTTAAAAAAATTTTATATAGAGTACACTGCAGAAACTGAAACTAAAATATACTAGACATACTAAAATACACAAATAAAATTGGCCCTCCAATTGACCCAACCTACATAGAGGAGCTTCTGAGAAATAGAATTCTGGCTTATTCTTGGAAGTAGAATGGCTTTGGTTAAAGGGGGGAAAAGGGAAGATTTATCAAAATTGTAATGCATCAGTTACATAATTTTACTCACAGACCTGGCTTTGTTGAATGTGATATTTTTTACTTTTGCCTTCTTCCGGAACTTCAATCTGCTAAAAAGATTAGTAAAATGTCAGTCAGCACAGCCAGAGAAGCAAACACACAAATAATCTGTTTAACTAGCACAGCTCCCTTCCACAATAATCCTCTTAATGGTCCCGAAGGCTGCCCGTCAGCAGCCCACCTGCTTGTCCTCTGCGCCTTCCCCCTTCACTGTCCAGGGTCTCAATGTTACCGCAATCGAGTCCCCAAAAGTTACGTGAAGCTTAATGTTTAACATTGGCAGTTGCCTATGGATTTTGTGACCTAACATAACTTCTAAAAGGATATCACACGAAATGAAATGTACTTCTAAATCCTGAAATAGTCCATAGAGCTCCAATCCATACACTGAATCAAAGCCACATGAGGCTCTGGTTCATCAAAAGGCACCATTAATCAAATGAAGAATCAAACTGAAGTTCAAGACCCTTGAACATATCTCATGCACATAAGGTAAACTTAATACACCAGTCAGGGTCCCAGCAGGGAACAGATGGCACAATCCTGGGATAAGTGGGAGTTTTAAAAAGGATCTATTTAACTATTTAATGGAGCAAATCAGTGAAGGGATGTTGGGGCCCCCTGGGGCTAGAAATGAAGGGGATACAGGGGGGATTCTTGCCACCTCTAGGCTTTAAGGGGCAAGGGAAGCAGCTGTTACTGGATCCAGAGAGTAGCTGTAGGGAGAGATGGCCCAACAAGAGCTGTGGCCTGAAGGATACGCCAACCTCAGAGACCTACTCCAAACTCACTTCCCCCACCCTCTAATCTCCTGCTGGGCTTCCCAGTAGGTGACCCCATAGAGAGCAAGTCATGGTACACACAGGTCAGTCTCCCAGGGCACGAAGCAGGGTGGGGAAGAGTGCAGAGCAATTTAGAGGGGCACACAGGGAGTGTCTGGCACGCCTAGTGAATGGGACCTAGCCAGGGTTTGGGGGCTTTAAGGAGTTCTTAGACTCTTCGTAAGGGACAGGAAAAGAACTATTATTACACAACTGTGCATTATGTGTATATGTCAAACACGGCAGAGTGCTCATCACTACAATTGTAAATGACTCTGTACTAATTGCCTTTTCCTCCAACAAATGAGCTGCTTGACACAGGATCCTCAGTTTCTAGCCTGGACAGTACAGGCATTTGTAAATGATAGAATGAAGGGGTGAATTAATTAAGTTGTTTATTATTCATGAAAATATAGCATGGGACATTTCAAAATAAGTGGGATAAATAACATGACACTGCAAATGAGCATTACCTTTTAACTATGGTTAAATTAATTTTGTTGTAAAATAAATTGCTTTAAGGAGGTACACATAAGACTCCTTTAGGTTAGTATTCTTAATAGAAATGTTCATATATACGAAGCCTATCTCAATAATTAGAAAAGAATCAGGGCTGGCTGGTTAGCTCAGTTGGTGTTCTAAGACCAAAATGTTCTAAGACCAAGGTCAAGGGTTTGAATCCGTAAAACGGCCAGCTACACACACACACCCAAATCAGTTATTAAGTCTCAGTAAGTAAGAAATGAATGATCTGATGTCTTATGTGTTTTACTACTGTTATTATTATTTTACAATATTACATTATAGTTTGTAAATAGTCTTGTGCTATGAAATATAAAACTTGTGGGAAAATTCTCAGAATTTTTCTTTTTCTTTTTTTTTTTTTTCTTTTTTGTCTTTTTTCGTGACCGGTAACGGGATCGCAACCCTCGGTGTCACGCCCGCACCGTGCTCAACCAGTGAGCAGACCGGTTTCTATATGGGATCCGAACCCTCGGCGGGAGCACCACTGCACTCCCAAGCGCCGCACTCTACCGAGTGCGCCACCGGGCCGGCCCCTCAGAATTTTTCTCTCCTATTTTCCTTCCCCTCTTCTTCCCTATATCAAAATAAATAAAATAGAATACACTACAAATGTTAAGCAATTTCTGGTATAATCAGTTTCATCGACTTATTGCAGTAAGACTTTAAATTCTTGATATACTAGGGGGAATAAAGTTGGGAAGAAAAGCAAATCCTTTTTCCATAATATTCCTGCACTTTCTCTTTCATCACTAAAGTAGTTTCTGTTAAAAATATAAGAACTTATTCCTGCACAGTAATTCCCCCCTGGCTCTCTAAAACTTTGTCCTCCTAACTTCGTCCAACTAACTCTTTTTTTTTTTTTTTTCCCCCAGTAAGGGGATCGAAACCCTTGGCACAGTGTTGTCTGCACCACGCTCAACCAGTGAGAGCACTGGCCATCCCTATATAGGATCCAAACCCGCGGCCTCGGTGCCGATAGCACCGCACTCTCCCGAGTGAGCCACAGGGCCAGCCCCAACTAACGCTTGCCCAATGAGTTTTAGCAGAAACTCTGCGTGAGACTTCTGAGACACCTCTTCAAAGAAAAGAAGTGAGTCCTTCTTTATACCCTCCTCACACTTGCTGCCTGGAATGTGGATGTAATGACTGGCACTCTAACAGCCATCTTGGGGATAAGGTGAAAGCCACACACTAAAGATGACACAGCAGAAAGGTCTCTGGTGACATTAAGGAGCTGGAATCCCAGCCCTAGACTGCCTATCTCTGGGCTTGTTTTAGACAAAATAGAAGTTTGTTTCTCTGTCATCTAAAACACTATTACACATAACTAAAACTAATCCTAACTAATACATTTTACTTTCAAATAAAACAATCCTTGGGCCAGCCTGTGGCTCACTCGGGAGAGTGTGGTGCTGATAACACCAAGGCCACGGGTTCGGATCCCATATAGGGATGGCCGGTTTGCTGACAGCACCAAGCCAAGGGTTAAGATGGTCATCTTAAAAAAACAAACAAACAAAAAAAACCCAACAAATAAAACAATCCCTTATAATTCTGCTCTAGTTAAAAGTGGCAAATATGAACAAAATTGATTGAGGCTTTCATGTAGGAGCATAGCTTTAAGAAGAATGTTACACTTTTTTTTCTTCCGGTTTGTGGATAATACTGTCTTTAAGAAGAAAAAAAGATTTTTGGTTGTGGCTATATGTTTACATTATTGTTTAGCATATGTGTTTGACTCAAATTCTAATGATCTCTTCATAAACAGTTTGTCTTACCTTTGAAAGCACTGCCTAAAGCTAAGTAAGCTAATTAACTTTCAGTTAGCAGTACATTTCTTTTTTCCCTTGTTCCTACTTACTAGAGTAAAACCAGTACTGTTTAGTCTGCTTCCAGAGACCATCTGCTTTATTCATAGGGCTCATTTTGTTAGTTTCCTTAATTTCTGCTCCCGATCCAGAATCTTCAAGATTATCAAAATCCTGGACTCAGAACCTGCCTTGCAAAATAGAGAACTCTGTCCCAGTCCACACGAACCTTCTATAAGTGACATGCATCAGCTCAGACTTTGTGGTTTACCTAGAAAGCAACTGAACATTAACAACCATACATTTATTTATTTATTTATTTCCTTTTTGTCTTTTTTCGTGACCGGCAATGGGATCGCAACCCTCGGTGTCGCGCCCACACCACGCTCAACCAGTGAGCGGACTGGTCTCTATATGGGATCCAAACCCTTGGTGGGAGGGCCACTGTGCTCCCAAGCGCCGCACTCTACCAAGTGCGCCACCGGGCCGGCCCTAACAGCCATACATTTACATGGCTACTTTAAGCTACAGAATGACTTTAGTCAAGTGTACTTTGTGGGGAGGCCCAGCACTCAGGATGAGTTCAAACAGCTGATGTGCTGTTCCCTTTACCTTCCAGGGACCCATTCTACCCAAGGCTTTGCAGAAGAAATTCCAAATTGAAATGCAGATCATTCCTACAACATCCTCTTGAAAACACAATTTTAAGAGGAAGGGTCTTAACTTTTCTTTCCAAGATCCAAAATAAGTAAAGAAATAAAATAGTGGAAATAAAATTTGTTGACTATTTGGATAAAGCAATACAAGAGTATTGACTAATGTGCTGGTTTTGCTATCAGTCACAGGGATAAACTGTAGATTTCAATTTGAGTGCAAATCTAAGGAATGTAGTGTTTGTTTTTCCTGAAAATTCTGAAAACAGTATTACCTTTTCCATTCTACTGAGCTAATTCTTTAGCTACTCATTGTACAAGTATTTCCCGCATCAGGTAGCTTACATTTTATTCATCCACATTGGAGAGTGCTTCACCCTTTTAATGAGGCTGCTTCAGTTAATTACTTTTCTCTTTCTTCTTTTTTTTTAATATATATAATAATTGTTACCTAAGAGGGTCCATCCTGCCTAAGAGGCTGGATTTAATTCTTCTTTTAAAAAGACCCTCCTTGATTTCTTTATTAAAGCTTTAATTTAGTACTCTCTAGTACATTTTGAATTGTTCAGTCACCAAGAGGCGGTGAATTTATTTTTCCCGGAAAAATATTTTTAGTTCTAAAAGAAAGAGAAATAAGTATAAAACACAACTATTTTCTTAGAAAAAAGCCGTGAAGTCAAGTAAAGATCAATGTTAAACTAAACATGTCATCCATCCTCTTAAAAAGGACTAAGTATAAATAAAAACGTTAGAATTTTGAGTGAGATCTTTCTTTAAAAAACAAAGACATGAAAAAAAGTTTCCAAATGTTTTCTGTTGTATTTTTAAAGATCAGTGTAAGATTCTGCAAAAGAATTAAGTCTTCAAATGCCAACCAGCCATTAGTAGTTTAATCTTTTTTTTTCTTTTTCCTGACATAGACACACTGGATTATCATTTTTTAAGGATCAAACCGTACTGTCTTATTTGAGACAAGCTTATATCCTAATAATGACGAGGCAATTAGAAAAGTTTCAAATGTCTGTAATTTTTTTTTCAAACTGCCCACCAACCCTTTCAATCAGTGAGTGGGCCTTTAATGAATAAGTGTAGACAAGAAAAATAAAGTTTAATTTTATACTGAGAAAAAATGATAGTTTCTTTTACTCAATGGCTTCCTCCAACCGCTAAAGGCATTTTCATTTGGCACAATGGGAGTATCAAGAGGCTATGGATTCTTTCTAGAGACAAACTCTAGAGCTTGTTTAATATCATTCCCGCTGTGTTCAAGATTCTGATTTTATGATGGAGCTTTTATGATAAATCTGAAAGGCTCCATGAGGCGGAGATAAATTGATACAGACTGAACGGTGAGGGTAAAAAAAAAAAAAGAGTTCTCTGTAATCCAAAGAGGACTTCTCATTGGAAAAATGGCTTGAATTATAACTCCTCCCACCGTGCCACTCTGACTACTGAGCGCAGCAAGGGATGAGGAGCTCACTTCTGTGAAGTTTGCATCCCTCCCCTGAGGACCAGACCTGCTGCACCGGGGAATTCATGTGCACAGTTTGGTCTCCACGTGTTGGCTGATGGTGAAAACTGAAAGTGAAAAATGGACACAGATAAGAGCACTTACCATTTCCGGATTCTCGGCTGCTAGCTTTACCATCTTTTCTGAGATCATCTTTTTCAAGCAGCTACTCAGCAAAAAAGCCTAAGAAATCCAGAGATAAAGAACTCTCTCAGCTGAAGAGATTTTCTTTCTCTTCCTTTCTCCTCATACCACAAAGCAGATTTTGAGCTCTGCCCTCCAACAGCATGTTTTCAAGAATTTAGATTTCTTCTTTAACTTCCAGAAATTTGCATAAGATGTTATTAGCAAGTAACCATAAATTTTCCCAATTACATGGATTATTTACAATAAGGTTTAAAAAGACAGATGAAAAATGTCCAGGATCTCATTACTAATCTTTTTGCTCTTAAAACTCCTTCCTTGCATCCTACGTTTTCTATTATTTTGTAAGCAGATCATGTTTTATGAGCAACAAACAATAAAAACTACTTATTATTGTTAACCAAATAAACTGATGATGGTCAATCCTATACTTAATAGTACACATAATTGAGAGACCTATTATTGGGCATAAATAGTAATCTTTCTATTTGAAAGAATATATTAGCACCTTATTGCTTTTTTTTTTTTTTGTCTTTTTTCCGTGTCCGGCAACGGATCGCAACCCTCAGTGTTGCCCCCGTACCGGACCGGGGACCGGCAACGGGATCGCAAGCCTCGGTGTTGCTCCCGCGCCTCGCTCAGCCAGTGAGCGGGAGCCGGTCTGTATGTGGGATCCGAACCCTCGGACGGGAGCGCCGCCGCACCTCCCAAGCGGCGCACTATCCAGTGCGCCACCGGGCCGGCCCCCTTATTGCTTTTATTGAACTAAAAAAAAATAGTTGTTCTTCACTTTCTTATTTTTCCAGTATTTCTATTTTTTTTTTATTCTTTCAATTTTTATTTTGGTAATTTTAATGTGCAAACGAGCACCTGAGTGCACACACAGACAGTCCTAAAAGGGCTCAGGAAAAATAGTCTAATGATGCCAAATTTTAACTAAAGAAGAAAAGAAAAATTATAGTAGTTATCATGGCTGAATGTAGGTATTTAAGTCTTTATTTAAACAAGTTTTTATTACTTCGAAAAAACAATATATATTCTTTGTAAATAATTTTTTTTTAAAGCTGCTCCCTTCTTTTTATTAGTATGAGTTCTTAACCCTTCACTATCATTTTTGCAATGAAACGTACAGATTTACTGCTCATGTCCACATTAACTCTGCCCTTTATCTTTTAAAGCTACAGTTC